TTGTGATAGATCTGGGATCGGTATTCTGTGCGTATTGGGTCTGGGACCCTCTGTGTTCTTTTGAGATAATAACACAGTTAAGTAAGGTGCAGCTGCAGCAGAGATATTTGACGAAACCAAGTTTTGTTGACAGATCTGGGATCTGGATATCTGGTGTGTGTGTATGTGTGAGAGTGTGTGAGGAAACAATCAAACCTTTCAGGTTTTGTTGTTTCATACTAAAACAGCAGGAATTAATACAGTACAACTCTTGTGGATGCAGAGGCAAGAATTTCTCACCTGAAAAGGTAGAAGCAGAAATTACCACAACAGTGTTTGGGTGCTGTCCTGCTGAATAAACATCCAGTGCGTAGAATACCCTAGGTGTTTGTACGGGACTACACTCTTTAAAATGGGAAAAGGTCTAAATAAATTCAGGGGTTATTTAAAATCTACGATTAGAAGTTTGTAGAAGCGCAGGATCCAACCAAAAATAAATACTTGAATATATAGTTTGAAAAAAAAATATGGGTTTGAGGGACACCTCTAGTCCAAGATAAAATAATGAGAACTAAATGATAAAATAAAAGAACTAAAGTGAGTCAGGGAGGTAAATTAATTAAAAAGGATGGGTTCAGGAAAGAGTATAGAGAAGATCATAAAGGGGATGAAAATGTTGTGTCAGATTGATCCAAGTAATTCAAAATACTTGTAGGAGTGGAAGTAAAAGTATAAAATAGATGGTGTGTGGGAGTAGATCAATGGAGAAATGTTATGTGCCTGCTAGAAATAAGCACTAGTGCAAAAATAGATAAATAAAAAAATTAATAAATAAATACATAGATAAATAAATAAATATTTATAAATAGTTAAATGAGCTCCAAATGGCGAGTTGTTGATATAATACATGTGCAAAGTAGATATGTTATTATTAAAAATTAAATAAATAGATCTAATGTTGTGTTTGTCCGGTTTTAATTTTATGTGTTTCTGTCTTTAAAGTGATGTTTGTGGGTCTTTTAAGTTGTTTGTGTGTCCAACAGATAAGGAAACACAGTTTAAAGGGAGACAGCTTGAATCTGCAGTAGCGGGGGAGTATGTCTGTGGATCAATGACTGCAGCATTGATCCAGTTGACAGACTTCCTAATGCGCCTGCAGGGTCTCCAAAATTATTATTTCCGGAACCAAAAAATTTAAAATTAATAACCCACAAGAAAATTATACAATCATGCAAGCTACATACAGGAAATAAAAAAATAGAGGGATTAAATAAGTGGATTGCGCAAGCTAAAACATAGAAAAAGCTATGAAGCGTAGTTTGGACCATAATTGGGCTCAAGGGAGGGGCCGGTGGTCACACGGGAAAAACAAGGGGTCACGTAGAAAGCACAATAGGTGCTACAATTGTGATAAGGAGGGCCACTTTTCTTGAGAATGTCCAGACCCCTGTCATGGTCTTGGTTCTGTTGTTCTTTACTTTGCTCCTTGTTTTCTAGTTTTATTGGTTTAATTCAAGTTTTGTTGTAATTTCTAGATTGATGTTAGTTCTCATGTTTTTCTGTTGTCCTCTATTGCCCTCTTGTGTGTGTGTGTTCCTTTCCCCTTGGCTCCCTCGTTGTCTCGTCTCACACCTGCTCCTTGTCTGCTATATATGCTCTCCCTCTGCTCTCACTCTTTGTTGGTTCATCGTCTTTGCTGTCTTCCCATGCTGTGGTCTACGTCCCTCGTCTCTCCCTGGCTCCTAGTGTTTGGTTAACCCAGATGTCTCCATAGTTCTGGTTTGCTTTTCTTTGTTAGTTGGATTTTTGCATCCCTGCCATTGTTTACTTTTTGATTAAATCCACAAGAAATCACCTCAGCCTCTCTGCCTCTGCATTTGGGTCCTAAACCACAACCAACCCTGACAACCCCCGCAGAGTGACCCTCCCCGTCACCAATGTTATGACCAGCACTGACGCCAGGAATCATGTGCACCAGCAAAAATTGCAGTTAATTGTGGACCCAGTGGAGGTCCTGGACCTACAGCAAATTTTCCCTTCTTTTTTAAACACATCAGAAAAACCATGCTGGCATTTAAACATTTAAGGGGTAAAAGTAAAATTCCTGTGTGACACCGGGGCCGATAAATCTGTTGTGAAAAATATAATACCTCAGATTAAACCGGGGTCAAAATGGATCACTGTATTCTCTGCTGATGGGAGAATGGTGGTTCAGCGCATTTCTGAAAAACAATTGGCCACTGATGAAGAGGGATTCACGGTGGAAGCTGATTTTGTGTTAAGCCCAGACTGTCCAGTTAATCTATTAGGCAGCGATTTGTTAAGGAAATTGCAATTAGTGCTGGAGCCTACAGACAGAGGGGTAGTGGTGAAAAAATGTACATGCTGTAGGGGGAAGTTACTCCAGAAAAGCAGCTGACACACGTGATACATTCAGGCTCATTCCCTAAAACATTAATAGTTCTAGCAATTAATGGACAGGCATTTAGACTTATATGCGAATCAGGAGGCTGTAATACTTGTGTTGAAGATAATGTAAATGCTAAAACCGTCTAAAAGGCTATTTTTTGTAGAATCAGCAAATAATCAAACATCCTAGGATTGTATGTCAGTCTTCAAACAGCTAAAAGTTTGCAAGGTTGCATGTTTTTGTATTAATATCACCAACTCACCCCATCAATCTGTTAAAGTGAGACTTGATGGAAAATTAGGCATTGGAATTTTCCCCACGCTGGTGGAAATGAAGGCTGTATGAATAATACATAAAATGGTTTTGCAACCAAATTCTTCTGTGTTTTATTCAACATGCTTAGCATTTCTGCTCCATGTCTATTTTTCCAACTATGG